GCTCCGAGTTCATGCTGAGGAAGCAAAACGTTACAATTACAGGTTTCCTTGCCAAGTCTGCTCATGCAGCACTGAATTGTCTAGCACACAGCAGGGAGTCACAGAGACAGAGACATTTTATTTTCCTCCTTTAGAATACCAAGAGCAATTGCTAGGCATGGCTGAGGTACAGGACCCCCACCACAAACTAGTCCTGGGATAGATCACATCCGTGGTACGAATGCCAGCCTTCTCCTTTAGATTTCCAGACTGCCTCGATTCTTACAGCAACCCTCGTCGACTCCATAGAGCTTCTACAAAACGCATGCAAACAACAGCTAATTAATGCTCCCAAGACAGGCAGATACTGGTAGGTATCTGATATTATCCCCATTCTACAGAGGGGGGAAAGTGAGGCACAGCATTAAAGTGGCCTGCTATAAGGCTCTTTGACTGCTTAGTGGAGATTATTTCTCTGAACCAAACACTCAGTTCATCCAACCCAAATTAAAAATAGAAATTTGTGACACTGTCGATTTTGCACAAGAAAACAGAAAAAAAAAATGAAAGCAGCGGGAGGCAATAGAAGCAGTGCTGTATAGTGGCGATAGTGGGGTAGGGCAGGATTGGACATCAGGACTCCTGGGCTCTGCCACTGATTCACCATGTGCCTTCTGGCAACGACACATGCCTCAGTTTACCTTATCTGTAATGGGGATATTACCTACCTACCTCAGAAAGACATTAGGTGGGGGAGGCAATTAATGTTTATAGAGCAGATCATCATCATCAGATAGTCATTATTTGCATTACGTTAGCATCTAGTGGCCCCAGTCATGGAGCAGGACCCCATTTAGCAAGGTGCTGTACAAACAAAGAACTAACCCACAGTCCCTGGCCCAATGATCTTACTGTCTAAGTCTAAGATAAGACAATAGGTAGATGAGGTAGACCAGGGGTCCCCAACACAGTGCCCGCCGGGGCATTTTTGTGCGCCCGCAGGACACCCCGCTGCCGAAATGCCGCAGAGAAGCGTTGCCACGGGAAAGGTTGGGGACCACTGGGGTAGACAGTCAGGAAGAGCACAAGAAAACAACGCGGCAACACTGGTCAGCATGATCAGCAGTGGCCTCAGCACACCAGCTGCCTGACTACAGAGTTTTTTTTGTAGGCCCCGGGGCAGAGGACAGTTTTAGGGAGGGATCTGAAGGAGCTCAAGGAGGTGGCTTGGTGGCTGTTTGCAGGTAGTAGCTCCTCGAATGCATAGGGGTGGCAGGAGAGAAAGCACGAAGGTGCTTGCTTGTTAATTTAAGAAATGGGCTCCGAAGGCCGGCACCACTGGCAGAGTGGAGTCAGGAGCGGACAGTGCAAAAGCACATGAGAGATGACAGGGAGGGCGGAGACAGAGGAACAGCGCAGCGTATCTGGGAAGACTAGCTAGTGCATAAAAAGATGAACCTGAGCCACTCTCTCTCCGGTTGCAGACGGGGCTCTTTTCCCCCTCCTTTCCCCTGTCTTTTTCAATGCGTTGGACAAACCTCATTTCCCCCCAGGGTTAATTCATTCTGTGGCACTCTGTCACCCAAATGTCATCAGCCCTAAATCCAGGAAAGACCTGGGCGTTTGCCGTTCATCGACAAGTGGCCTGCACAGCCACCAGAACGAAGTCGCCACTTTGGGCCAGAAAAGTAAAACTGGCCCCTTTGTTTGAGGAACTGAAACAAGCAAAAGTGACCCTTCTAAGGCTTTAGCAACAGAGATTCTAGCCAGCAATTGAGAAAACTGGAGAGACACCACTGAATTCTCCCAAAAATAATAAAACTGATCTCTGCAAGCCCTAATGAGCAGGTCAGTCTCTCTCGTGCACCCCCGCACTCCCCCCCCCAGAATGTCCTTGGCTAACATATTCTATCACAGGGGTGCAGTTCTCTATTCAATTCTTTTCTAAACACTATACAAAGGATCCCATATTTATTACAACTTGCTCCTTCTTTAAATGTGACGACTCCCAGCTGATCTGCTTTTGCATGTGGTTAGAATGGTATTTCACTGAGGCACTACTTAAAAAAAAAATATATATATATATAGCTGATTGCCAAAAGTGTGATTGGCTTGTCTGAGCAGCTTCCTGGGCAAATGAAGGACACGACATTCCTGAAACAATCTGGGTGGATTTCTCAGCTTTTTGGGCTGAGAATTTACCCCTCAGCAATATAGTTATAGCAGAACAAAAACTTGTGAGTAGACAAGGCACAAGAAAGACAAAACAGGAAAAGAGTGTTTCAGTGACCGAAGCATTGACATTTTGGAAATGTCACTGATAATGCAGCTTATGACACATTTCCCCCCTCTATGCTGCACCTTTAAAATGTCTAGCTTGTCTGCAAAGGCAGCTGCCGTTTTGCAAGGCAGACTGGCTGCAAGATGTCACAGAAGACTCACTCACACTGTGCTCTCACTCAGACTTTTCTTTGTTCTTTCTTGTTTTGTTGTTTGCCTGTAATCTAACATCCAAGTTGCTGAGGCCAAGAGTACATGACTGCTCTTTGGCCTGGAGAAAACAACTCATTTGTCCGGAGTCATACAAGCCAGGGGTAGAGAGGAGGCGGAGGGATTTGTAGAAAGTTTGACGGCTGCACCACTGCATCGGGGTTCCCTGGTTTTGGATTGTAGAAGGATGGATTGTAACACTGGTGGACAGGTGTCCCCATTGCCACAGCAAAGAGGCCACAGAAAGAACGGGCCAATCGCCGGCAAGCGTGACCTCTGAAGATCAAGCTTGAGGCACGATGGCACGAAGAAACTTACTCCAATAATGCCTTTGCTGTTCCTCCCTTGTAGATGAAGGGAGCTCCCCACCGGCACTCGGAGCCCTACCAACCCGTTTTAAAATGGGGCACTGAACCCCTGACCTGCAGAGGTCCAGGGTAACCCTTGCGGCAGGTTGGATCTTCAATGGCTTGTTCCAGACTATTCACTCCGCACAACCAGCCAACTGCATGGCTGTTGCATGTTGGAGATGGGCGACATCCGTGCCGAGCAAGCAGACCTGAGCTTCTCTCGAGTCAGCAAGCCAAGCCAGCCCTTCCCATTGTGGGCTAATCCTATTGGCCTGGTAATCTCGCTAGGCAATCCTGTCAATACAGCCCCTCCTCCCAACAGGAGGATTTACTTCAACTGGCTTTGCACCCTGATCAGAGCGACCCAGAGCGCTTAACCAGCCAACACGCCAGGCTGAGAACAGCTACCGCAGGCCGAGCTGCAAAACACGGGTTCTCAGGCAACAGAGCCTGAGAAGTGGAGCTTCCCGGTTGCCGCACCAGCGTCACTCTTTGGGGGCTACTTCGTCACACGCTTGTGACTGCGGGAAACTCAGCGAGTTGCCTTAACCCTCATTTCTGCCCTGCAAGTAGAAATGCCATACCCCTGCTCCACAGATGGGGATCCCGGGAAACAGACGGGTGCCTTGCACAGGGAGTCAGAGGCTGAGCCGAGACTCAAACCCAAAATCTGTGCTACTCTAACTGCTAAAGAAAGACAGTCTTGTGGTTAAGCTGGGTTTGATATGGGAGTCCCTCTGTGAGCTCGGCAGAGCCCCTTAGCTCTGCCTCGGGAAAACACGGATAACAATTCCCTACAGTGCAGGGATGTGGGGAGAATTCATAAAGTGTGTGAGGAGCCCAGACGTTACAGTGTACTACAAAGTGACAGCACGGCCTAGTGAAGAGGGCACAGGACTGGGGCTCAGGAGACCTGTGTTCTATTGCTGGCTCCACCACAGGCCTGTTGGTGTCCTTGGGTAAATCACTTCACATCTCCATGCCTCAGTTTACTTAGCAGAAAATTATACTGACCTCCTTTATGAAGCACTTTGAGATCTACTGATGAGCAGTGCTGTAGAAGAGCTAGAGATTATTATTATCCAGTGAAGCAGGCCATAGAAATACCAACACAGAGCAAGAGGACACAATTCTGTCTTTACCGTGGGACAATTTGGCGCTACACTTATTTGTTCTGCGCAGACTCAAAGGGGAAGCTGCTGCAACATTTGTGTTGTTCTCAACAAAACCAGCACCAATTCAATCCAAGGCATACACGGGGCATAGTTTTAGCATCATATGCTTTAAGTTCTTTAAGCTCCAAACATTTTAGCAGCTGCTCCTGCTGCTGCTATTTCACCAAATGGGAACTGGGTGTCGAATTCTTCACTGTGCCTTGGAAAATATCCCCCAAGTTCATAAACAACAGTCTGACTGGCAGGTAACCAGGGAAAATGGCAGTACAGTAGCTGGAAGAAAGAAAAGCCGCAGCAGTTACTTCTCAGGCTGGATCAGATTTCTAAAATAATACAGGGAAACAGACAGCTAGAACTCTCTCTCCAGCTGACATACTGTCATGACCTCCCTTCTCTGACTGCTTGGTGCCCCCCCAGTCCTTTAATAACAAAGGGAGAAAACACCCCAGAACAGTTTGTTTAATGCTTACTTCAAACCCCAACACAAACATTTGAGTTAAACTATTGTAAAATGCCCAGATTTATGTGGTTGTTTTGCTTGGATTAGGAAGCCCTTCTGAGTTTCAGGGCAACACCAATCCTGCTTTAAGCAGTTTTCAATGGAAATAAAAAGTTATTACACCATCTGTCTTCGACCCAGGTCTATAGATCATGCCTGTAAAGCTGTACAGAGAAACGAGCCTTGCAAGAATAAGCGTCCTTTGTTGTATTTTGCCCTGTAAGGGCCCAGTTTTGCATTCTTTCAGCATCCCAAACTCCCACGGGTTCCAAAGGCAGTTTGTGGTTTGCCAAAAATGCAGGATCACTAGGACTGGCTTCTACAATTATTATTCATAATAATTTGGAGTGGTTCCTTCAATGTCTTAGGTAGGCACTTTCCCAACACCTGCCCCAAAAAGCTTACAATCAAAAGACAGAGGTCAGGGAAAGGGGAATAAGATATCGCAAACAAGTCAAATCCTGAGATTTTCACTCAAATAAAACTTCAGCTGGTTTCAAGACTGACCTTCCCCGAGGATCCCGTTTGCCTGAGTATAGCACGCATAAAAGCTGAGTGCACCAGTTCCTCTAATCCTATGGAGCATGAATAATCAGGGAGCAGTTCACGTTCCAATCAGCAGGCTCATCAAAAGGAGATGAAACTTTTAAAATTATGTGAACGACTTATTTAAAAAAACCCAACCAACCAAACCCCCAAACAATCCAAGCTTACAAAAAACCTAACGGTAACAAAACACCCATCTACTTCTTCCAAGGGCAATATCCATTGCTCTCATTTTAGATTGGCCAGAGGTGAAATCCGTTCTGCCACTGAGCCTAATTTGTGAACTTCATACACACAAACACAATCGCATACGCTTTCTGGTGTTACCATAGTAACAACTCAGGCACAAGAGTGTCACGGCTCCCAAATGCATGCAGCCTTTAATTAAAATCTGTTTGTCCTTGAACTGGCTGCTTTGCTGAATGTCTGACTTGCCTAATTACCATCAATGCTCAGTTTGGGACTTACTAAAAAGAGAGGTCGAAAAAAAGGCTTTTTCCCTGCTGCGCACATGGCAAATGAAACCCATTTGCTTCTGTGTGAAGGGATGAGATTTGAAGGGCTGATGATTATGGGGAATGCAATGTGGCCCCCACAACCATTGGTCCTTCGACACCCCAAAGCCTCTGTATTCTGTGGGAGCATTCGCGTGCTGCTGCTCCAACTTCAAGGCCAAAAAAAAAAAGAAGAAGAAATGTTGCACACTGCGTCCTCCAGCTCCTGGAGTCCCAGGGCGTCGTGGAAATCAGATCAGGGCATGCTCTGGATCACAGGAAAGGGGCCCTCCAGAGAAGGTCATGCTGGAAAGGAGCTATTCGCTTGGGCTAAATGGGTTGGGATTTCAGCAGACTCACAAGAAGGATGCAGGTAGGAAAGAGGAGTATCACTGCCAAGCCTGGTGGGTTAACAAAGGACCAGGAGCTAAGACTCCTTGCTTTTAGACCTGGCTGTGCCATTGATTCACCAGGTCACCTCACGTAAAGCCTGTGGACCGTGTCTCTCTCATATTACTCATCTGTAAAAGTGGCCTAATGCTGCTTATACATCTGCCTGGATGCCATGTGCCTTAACGAACACTTGTGAAGTGCCTTGACGTCCGGAGCAATAGACATTCAAGGGATCCCTACGGTGGCTCTCAGCTGGGAATACAGATTCCAAACTTCCAGTGTGGCCTTGGGCAAGCTAGGCTCAATCTACACTTAAAACTGATACCCACATAGCTATGCCCACCAGGGGTATGAAAAAAACCACACGCCCCAATGACACAGCTCTGCCGACAAAACCCGCAGTGTAGATGCAGCTCGGCCGACAGAAGATGCTTGTCAGCAGAGCTAACGTTTGTGGAGGTGGTGGTCCTACACTGGTGGGAAAAACTCCTTCTGCTGGCATACACATGGGGAGGCGATGCCAGCATAGGCGCTGTAATGTAGACATTGCCTGTTACTCAGCCTCTCTGTGCCTCAGTTCCCCACCTGTCAATGGGGAATAATAGCACCGTCCCACCACACAGGAGTGTTCAGAGGATAGATCCATTAACAGCCATGATTAGTGCTTGGGCACTGCACTAATGGAGGCCATACAAGTACCACGGACAGCAAGGAGAAAAGAGGACCGACCGATGCATCATTCTTGACAGCCACCCTTCAAGGACAAAAAATGCAGATGAGTAAGTTAAAGCCCCCAGTCCTCACACACAGAAGACAACAGGCCCCAGCCCTCTCTTTCCACAAGTTGTGTATCTTCTGCACAGAGCCAAAGGCCCAGCCCCAAGTCCACCAGCAGCAAGGAGCAGTGGGGCAAAGAGCCGCACTGGCCAGTTTTGCAGACGGCTTTCTCTGCTCAGTTCACGGTCAGAAGCTGGGGCTTCAGAGGCGCCATGGGCAGCTTCAGTCCCACCCAACACAGTAACCACTTTGCAGCCTCGCTCCGTGCGCTTGATGGATTCTGATGGTCAATCCTTTGGTCTCTGAAAGACACTGAGCCAGGGACGCACTGCTTGTTCCCTTCTGTGCTACCCCTGCACTGGAGAAGGGGAGGAGGATTCTACTGGCTTGATCTCTGCAGCCCCAGAAAAAAAATGGGGGGGGGGTGCCTTAGGGCAGCAGAAAAACAAAATTTCCACCCTGATCACTGAAACCCAGCAACCAAACAAACAAAGATCCCTTCTCCATCCACCTTCTCCCTCACCTTTCACCATGCAGGGTAACAGAAAGTGCCACAGAGTTATCCACATATGGTGGCTGTAGGAGCGGGACAGCAAGTTGTAAGCAGGCCATTCACTGTGCCTCACGGAGCAGAAGGCCCATCCTCTCTGGGTTCTCCTCTGGCTGCGGACCGTGAATCACCGAGCGGTCAGCACCAGCTCATTCCATCCAGAAAAGTTGGTCTCATTCTGCCAAAAGAGTTTCCTCTCATGGGCCAACACAGCGTGGAGTTCCGCAGGAGAGACTCCTCTTTGAGCTACCGCCCACTGCCAGCTGCCGCCAACGTGTTCTCCACATGTCTCAAGAAAGTTTTAGATCAATAAAAAATGGGCAAGGGTTGAAGAATCCCATGGAAGACCCCATGGCCACCTTTTCTATTTGCTCATCCCCCCTGGGGTACATGGGAGCCCCAGCCTTTCCTTCTTCTGGTGTTTTCCTTCCTCCTCCTTGTTTGCCTTTTGTTTAAAGCACGTTCTCTTTCTAAGGAAGGAGAGCCAGAGCAGAGCAGAGGGAGGCAGGGAGGTTAGGTGTAGCCGTGACGAGCAAGGTGACTCAGATTTGTTCATCACTATCAGCTAAAGATTAACGATGATTTATACCAAATATCATCTTTTTGCTGCCTCATAACTTAACCAAAGGACCAAAGAACCTAATCACTCCTTCACAAAAACTATGGGAGCAAACACAATGGCTCCAAAAGAGAAAATGCTTTCACACTATCCGAGAATGTACCAGAGCCGGTGGGAGAGCTAGAACGTCCTCTTAGGTACAATGGCTACGTTTGGGATGCTGCATAAGGCATGAAGCAAGCGCAGCGTGAAGGGTTGTTGGGGCCATTAGCGGTCACATTACCATGGCTCCCATCAAAACAGTGCTATAATTGGGCTTTCCCACATATCGGATCAAAATATCTGACAAATCAAGGCCAGATTCACCTATCACATTTTCTTGTTCCCTAAAATGGCACATGAGGGATGTTTGGATTTGATTTAAAACCAGTCAGTGAATACACGTTACTGAATTAAGTGTCAAGAAAAATATGAAATTATAATAACAAAATTCTATAGATTTAAGCAACAGGACAGGACAAGGTATGGCATAGACAGGTACAGTAGAACCTCAGAGTTACGAACTGACCAGTCATCCACACATCTCATTTGGAACTGGAAGTACACAATCAACAGCAGAGACCAAAAAAATAGCAAATACAGTACAGTACTGTGTAAAACGTAAACTACTAAATCTTGGCTAGGTTGTAAATTCCTCAGGTCAGGCTGCCTAGATTTTAGGCCCAGCATGTTGCAAATTCTTGGCAAACAAAACAAACAGGACCACCACCACAGCACTTCAGGAAAGGAAAAATCTCACCGAAGCTGCAGAGGAAATTTGGATAAAAGCAGTGCAATCTCCTGGCCCTGTTTGCAATCAGCCTTGAATAATAATAGTTTGATAACACTTTATTATTAAACCAGTTGAGTTATCAGGGGTTTCACAACTGCAAATAAATAATGCTTTGCATTTTCATAGCAGCTTCCAGCCGAGGATCACAAAGCACTTTAAAATCATAACATCTCGCTTTACAGATGGGGAAACTGAGGCCCAGAGCTGTGCTCTGCCTTCAGTGAGTTGGTGGCAGAACCAGGCATAGAACAGCCAGCTGTCCAACTCTCTGATTGAAGGGTAAGTCTCAAGTCCACTCTCGGCAGACTCATTTAGGTGTGTAAGTGGGACCTGTTGGATGCTCAGCTCCTTTAAAAATCTGTCCCTTATTCAAAACCTCCACCTTGCCTGTTGGGTGCTGCTTAGCTTGTCATGCCTCATTCATAATGAATACCTAGCAGCCAATATGCCTGTCTAGCGACTCCGAAAAAGCCATGTCACACACTGAGCTAGGAGTCAGTTCTCTTAAATACCAGTTCTCACTGCAGTGAGAAAAAACTCACTCAGGGAGACAACACATTGCTAGGGTAGCAATACATTAACCCTTTCCTTTCTGCACGGGAAAGTGAGTGTTATGAGCAGCCGACTCAGGTAGTGCGTTACTGTAAGCCGGGGTAGGCAACCTATGGCACGCAAGCTAATTTTCAGTGGCACTCACACTGCCCGGGTCCTGGCCACCGGTCCAGGGGGCTCTGCATTTTAATTTAATTTTAAATGAAGCTTCTTAAACATTTAAAAAAAAAAACTTATTTACTTTACATACAACAATAGCTTAATTATATATTATAGACTTATAGAAAGAGACTTTCTAAAAACATTAAAATGTATTACTGGCACGCAAAACCTTAAATTAGCGTGAATGAATGAAGATTCGGCCCACCACTTCTGAAAGGTTGCCAACCCCTGCTCTAAGCAGATCCATTGCACACTCCAAACAGAGCTACTGTGGTTATAAAGCAAGAATCGAAGATAGGCGTGATTAATAGCACTGGAAACATATACACTGGGAATACGAGGGCTACAAAGCTTTTCTGAGGAACTAGTATTTGTTCCTGTTAATGTGATTTTTACGGCTTCAGCATGAAAAACTTAAGACACCGCATTGAAATGTATTGAATTTTATATGAAAGTAAATATTTCACAGCATCTGTTATGGGCTGGTGTAAATCCTGCCTTCTCTAAGCAACCACAGAGCAAGTTCTAAAGTGCTCAGCCTAACCAGATATTCACGGGTTTGTCTAATTATAGATGAATTAGCAATGAAAGGGGCAGCAAACCTTTAAAGAAACTAATCAAGCTGAGAATTAGATCCCACCAGTAATCTGCTCCCTCAGCTTTCAAACGGTTCCTGCGCAACGGTTCCAACTATTCGTGACAAATTACCAGGCTCAGATAAGAGATGCTCGAACTCTCGGGCTGTGTCATGCTCAGCTACATTGGCTCATGATGGATGAAGATCACATGCCACAAAATGCACAAGTTGGAACTTAGATCTCTCATGCCAAACTATACACCATTCGCAATGAAAGGTCACCACTGAGGGAATGAGTGTAGGGTT